CCTGGCACTATTTCCATGAGCACTGATAATACAGCCAGCTTTACCATTAACAATGGCAAAGCAGGAGAAAACAGTTACATGGGAATTTCTGTGTCTGTGTACAAAATTCTGCTCTAACATTTCAGTTAGTATCAGTTGCTCCCCTTCTGTGTGTTGGTGTTGACTCATTGATTTCATGGGACCTACCTGTGCAACTCTGGTTTGTGTTGATGAGCAAAAAGTGAATTTAATGGAGTGATGTAAAAATGACTTCTAAAACCAGATTAGCACCATTCAATAAATCAACTATGTAAGCTGCCCTCTGACAACAAAAGTAGTTCTGGATGTAAAACCATGTCTACCTATTCTTCAGCTATATTTTACTGACACCGCACCACGATGGAAAACCATGATCAATTCCTTGTTTACAAAATCTGTTGTATATTCGTTGGAAATATTTCCAGCTGAAAACCCACAGAGCTAACTCTGTAAAAATTTGGAACTTTCTGAACTACAAAAATGCAACTTCAGTCCACAAACAAACTGAAACACACTATTGCTGGTTAAATCTAGTTCTGCTTCATTTAGATTTGAAATGGGTATTTGAATGTTCTTGCTTTTAGATTAGCTACAGAGCGTTGTCATGTCACATTTCCACAGCACACAGGCGTTTCAGGAAACTTCTGTTGGGTGCGTCACTCACCGACTCCTTTCTCCAGATCAGATCTGTCAGAAGCTCACTGTCTCTGGGTCACACGTGGCTAGGGACAGCCAAAGTGCATCTACCTCAAATATCCAACATGACATTTCTAACAAATGTGCAAGTGAAGAGGAACGGGATTCCAGTGGTCCTATGTCCCCCGTGGGCTCTGCCATATTTGGGAAACTGTAAGCAATTAAATGGTTACCTTTTCCTTGCAGTCACCAGAATGCTATTAAGGGGCTACATGAGTGCAAAGGAAAAGTGCCATGATTTTTGATACCCAGACCTTAAAAACAGGCCCTCTGTGTAGCATTTTAGGCATCTGCATTAGGAAACATCCAAAACCTAAAAATTTATACCAGATGATTTTGTTTGCATAATGCACTATACCAGCCAAAAGTTAAGCATCTCATACACTGCCTGACACTTCTGTATGCTTCCTTCTATTTCTCTATGTCCCACCATTTCTAAACCTAAGAGTTTGAAAAATGTAGCATGGCAATCTTTATTTGTTTCTGAAACATATATATATATATAAATATATATATAAATATATAAAGCACAACAGAAATACAACCAATTCCACACCCATTTCAAATTGTAGCTCAAAGCGACGCACATATGAACCTGGCCAGCAATTCAACCTGAATGTGAGCACTCCCTGTGTGCTGGGAACCTGGCATTCCAAAGTAGTTTACAAAACTAGCATTTATTCCTTCTGTAGTAGTTATAAGGTGGCCACAATTTGAAACTTAATTATTTTACTCATAGCTACTGACTTTTATGTGATTTCAGAAACCAGTGATTCATTGAGCTATGTATCATCTTCCATACATATCAAAAATACATAAACCATAACAAACTAACTCTGTATCTTTAAACCTGTAAGCATTTCAAATTGTACACTGATGAACTTCAGTACTCAGTTGTACAGCATAGGTAAAATAATACCCTTGCAAAATTTAATACCTCGCCCAAAATCACAGCTCCATAAACAACCTAAACCAGAAACAGGCTAAGGGTAGGTCTTGGCACGTAAGTATCCTGGTGGTTCACTCAAGTGTCAGCAACAATTACTGTCTTCCACCAAACACTGTTATGCTTGGCATCTCCATTTCTATGAGGGCATTTTTCCACAGCAGGCTGTTCATTCCTTATACAATGGATCACCATCCCATGGGGAAGGGGGAAAAAAGAAAACAAAAAAGGTAACATGAAAGTAAATGGGTCTTAACAAGCTTCTGTTGGAAGATTCAGGAAGGGTGCAGCATTTCACTATCAAAACTTTAAACTAACTCTGAGGTCAGACCCCTCAGAAGACATTTGGGATTTGCTTAGGTCAGAAAGGTAACCAGCCCCATCCTGCAGCCCCCAAATATATATATATATGCTATAGGAAAGCATGAGGAGAATGAAACCTTTTCTATTTCTCCTTCTCCTAGGTCAAACACCAGATGGAACACTTTTTTTTAATATAAAATCTTGTGTATACAGACTAAACTCTGAAACAGGAACAAAGCATTCCCCTGGTTACACAAACAGAAATGGAAATGATTGGAAAAGTGGTAGAATATGACCATATTTTATTTTCAAGTGTTTCCTATTCTTTCCCTTGCATGCCAGAGAGATTTGTATCTTACATCAAAGATCAGTGTCATGACTCATGCCCAGCCCTTGGCACTCCAGTACTGCTATGTTTCATATAACAGCTCCAGCCCTTATGCAAAAAAACAAATGCATGTGAGGGAACTTGCTGCATTTTGTAGATCTATGCAGGTAGGACCAGTACTCCAAATTACACAAGAGTAACTCAGAAGCAAGTGCCAGATACACAGAGGACCTATTCCTTATGTACTTGTTACTTTCTACTATTACATACTATCAGATGATTTATTTCAGATGTGTTCTGAATTATGCAGGTGTCTTGACCAACAATTTCACATGCTCAAATTATTTTGGCTGGATAGATATGATATTAGCTGTTAAAAGTTTAATCATATTTCTTTTAAAAATGATTATGCAGAGGCATTGCATCATAGGGTAATATTTCAGCTTTCAAAGAAGGATTTGGAGGTAACAGATTTTAGATGCAATTACTGTAACAGGCAATTAAAAATACTGCAATAGTAAACATTTCTGAAGTATTAAATATTAAAAAAACTAAATCACCTGACTAGTATACCAATCACTTAAACTAACTGGAAATACTGTTTTGTAGCCCTTAAATTTGTTATAATAAGACACACAGTGCAAATAGAACTTACATAATTATTTCTATATGCTTTTCAGAATTAAGTTCTGTATTATTTAGAATTTAAATCAGCCAGAAATACCTTTAGATGTTTTTGTTATCAGCACTAATTCACTATCAAGCTGATAAAAATTACATATCAATATACTGCACAATGATGTTGGCTAGTGCCTTTTTTTTAAAACAAAACAAAACAACAAAGAAAACACTTAGAAAAATGAAGTTAGTTTTACAGATTTGTGTACCACTTAATTTAAACTGCAAAATGTAATCTTGTTCATGTTTTTAGGCTAATTAGAGTACAGCATTCCCTATAGGTTAGGGTCTCCCTCTTAGTTTTTCTTTTCCAGGTGAAAGTTATTCTTGAAAAGTAACTCACAACCATAACAGTGGCAGGAGGTGTAAGTTAAGGAATGTTTGATAGGCCTCAGTAGTAGACAGAATTTTATCTCAATGATCTGAGTACGATTTCTTCATCCCTGTGTTATTAAAATATTGTAGTTGTCTTCTTCTACATGCCCATTGTCCTAGCACAAAACATAAACAGAAGATCCAAGACAAGGGGGGGGGGGCGGGGGAGGGGGGAGAAAGAACTTCATCCTCTTCATTCACATGCATTTTAACAGGCTGTTGGAACAGGGCTGATCCAATGCAAAATTCATGGCAGTTATTTATCAAGACCCTCACCTTCTATCAATAGATACTAACATGGATATAACCAAGGATGGTGTATGTTGTTTCCAATTCAGGGATAGTTCAGGTTCTAGTATCTGCAGGTGCACATAGCAGTGAAGAAAGCATTCAGGTTTAGTCTAGAAATTAGACTATTTCTAATTAGAAATTAGACTATTCCATTTTGCTGGAATTAAGTCTCTCAACAATCAAGAACAGATACATACACAACAGAAAAAAAGAAGAGGCAGCATGACAAAACTTTTCTGCCCTATTACATAACACTTTTATTCATCATACTTAACAAAACTAAACCTGTACAAGTTTGTACACATTGCATTGAAAGAACTGTTCACCAGCTTAAAAAAATTCAGAACATCAGAAACATTAGTCTTATGGTCCCTTTCGCAACTTTTTTCAGTCAATATCAATATATCTGCTCAAAGCTTCGAAAGATATGAAAAAAATTAACTGAAATATAGACTACAGGGTCCCCTTTTGGGGGATCTGTGATTGGTACCAAGTTTGTATCTACATCTCAAATGCAAAATCCTAATTCCACTATATAGAAATGTGAAATTACAGCCATTAGTAAAGAATTAGATGTTTAAACAGTAAAGATAAACTGGATCAAAACTACAGTTACAGTTAAAGACACAGGTAAATGTACATGACTGTTTAATTCAAAATCACATTTTTACATAGAAGAAATATTACATTCTGATCTACCAGTATGGCTTTTTCCACAAACAGCTGGGTGTTTTCAGATTAAAAAACCAGAACTGTTAGTTGTCTAAGAACTTAAAAAAAAATTTAGTATGTTAGGGAGAATTAGTACCAAGAAATGAAAGTGAGATTAAAGCGAAGTTTTTAACATCAAAGTAGACACCACTATGATTTATTTTTGGAAGACATTTCACCTTCGCTTTTATTATTTGTCTTAGCTATGGCAGCATTTCTCACCTGTGAACTTTCATCATAAGAAACGGAAAATAAGGTGTTATTTTTGATAGACTAAAATGCACCTGAACAAAGCAAAATTAAAATTGAAAGGCTAAAGAAAGCATTTAACTGAAGCCAGTTTTGGCTTGTGGATGTGCATGAAATAAAACAAAAATGACAGTTTTTGGCACGTATCCACATTAAGCTGTAAGGTGATTTAATAAAAGATAGCTAATAAAAGTGACCAGCTCACAATGAAACTGTACAAGCCATTAGTTCACATTTAAACAATAAATCTGATTGCAGTTTAGAGCACAAGAACATAACTTAAAATCCTATTTTATTCAAATTTGAAAAACTATATTGATTTTAAGTAGTTTAAATACATTCATTCCCAGTCAAAGTCTTACAGTAACTGATGATTTTCAATCACACACACAACCAAGTTATAAATCCCTGAAACATGGATTTATTATAGGAATACTGATAAAACCTTAACAGAGATACAAATGATACATCACATAGTGTCTTACACCTTAATGGTAAGTACTTGACTATGTTGAATTGGTAGATGCATCACTCCTACTGTTAGACACTAATACCATCCTCTAGAACCAACTGGTTTAAATTGAATTCACAACAGTTTGCAATTACCTAAAAAAAAAAAAAAAAGAATCATTTCTCCCCGTTCCCCCCATCACACTATAAAATGTTCAATTTCTAACCTTTATTTCAACGCTGGGAAAGAGAATCGCCCAGTTATGACAGGAACATACTAAGCAAGGAAAGCCATTGAAGTGAATTTTAGAAAGTCATTTCAGAATCAGTGTCCTTGCGGAGATTTAATATATAGCAGGACTTCTCTAGAAATAAGTCAATTGGCGTATCTTTATCCTGTGCATCTTAGGGCTTTACCCTATCAGTTGATCTCAGGATTCTTGAGGTTTCTCTCATTCTGGCACTGAGTTTCTGTAGATTAGGGCAACTTCCAAATGAAAGGCACTCTGTTATGGGTGAAATCAGAATTATCAACAATGCAAATGGACAACCTGTAACATACTTAAGAGAACTGTTGTAGTCTACATGAGGTTTAAAATTAAGTACTTTCCTTAAAAAAGGTGGAAAGATATTTAGATCGGCTATAGAGCATGTGTCTGCATGCACAGACACTAGCCACTGTACAAGCACAGTGATCTGCCAGTATCTCAACTGTTCCTCCCCATCTTCCCTCCCCTCTCTTTGTCTTCCCAAAGCTTTTTTGGATTGGGCAAAACCAAAAGCTTACAAAGTTCAACTGCACCATCAGGTGACTTGCAGAATGGCTCAGGGAACACCACTGACCAGCGCTACCACCTGCAGCAAGCAGCTTTGGAGAGTAAGTAGCAAAGGTGATCCCCTAGTAGAATGAGAGCATGGGCACACAATTACTTTGTCCCACTCCTTTCTGCTATTTCTTCCCTTCTCATTACCCTTCCCCCCCAAGTCCCACTGTAAAAAAAATCCATCATCTTGGGAATAAAGCTTTCCTTAGTGATAGGAAAACTCATGCTTGTTAGTCTGAGTAAGGGATGTGCAAAACAGAAGTCATTTCCCTGAGGCAAAGATCTTCAAGTCATGCCTATCTTACATTGTCTATTCTTATTTCAAGCTGCTGAAGTATTTGGCACAATGAGGCCTTGATCACTGACTGGAGTCTCATGGCATTATCACAGTCTAAATAATATAATTATACAGTAAAGTAGAAGATACAAATGTTTCATTCTCTCCTTCTATTTTGGTTTCTCACATTTACTTATTAAAATCCCTTTCCTTCTTAAGGATGGCATTCAGTTCCCTGTGCAGAAAGGTTAAGTGACAAACTTCAACTGTATTTAAAGGTTACCACAAATACTGAGTGCCTAAAAGGGGCAATCACAATAGTTATTGGACTCAGTACATGAATAACAGGGTAAAAGTTACTAGCCTGTTATATACAGGTCAAAATTGGATGATTTAATAGTCTCTTACATCATGGAAAAACTTCCAGGGAGATAAAAAAAAAAAGTCATGCTGTGAATGCTTCCGGTCTAAAACACGTAAGAAGCAAAGCCTGAAGCCAAGTCTTTCCAGATTTCCCTTTTAAAATATAAATTGCACTTCTTATACAAAGCAATCCGAAGTCTAAACTGCAGTAAAAATTTGAAGCTGCTTTTCTGTACCACAGAGTACCTCTTTGTCATTTGAAGTACAGGCAACTTGTTTTCAGCTGTTCTGCTTGTAGAGCCATATGCCCTACACCTTTCTGCTTAAAAAGTGTCTGCTGTTGAACGCCATGCCACTGGGTGGGTACTGAACAAAACAAAAGAGTTTAAGGCCTTTATCTCCACAAGGAGCTGAAAGTTGTGGTACAACCCATGACCAATACTTAATATACAGCACACCCCCACCCAGGGCTCAAATAATTAGTCATTCTTTCTAACATTTGTTGCACAAGACAATCATACCAATCAGCAAGCAACAGTGCCAGTTAAGCATTTTTAAGGTCTCAACAATCCATAGCAAAGGGCACTTCCGAGAAAAATAATCTTAAAGATTTGGTTTTAAAAATAGACACCACACTCACATTCAAGGGACATTCTTCACTTTTAGGCCTTTGTCACCAATTTTATTGTTCTGAAATAAATGCTATAAACATAAGACTTAAAACAAGAACTCCAGCTTTCAGTCTCAGAAGAGGTGTTGTTCAATGCCCATATCACATGTAACAAGAAAACTTCCTTAAAAAAGGAAAAAAATTACTGTAAAGTCTTTCATAAGAATGAAAATGCAATCCTTTTTTCTCATTAGTTTGTGTACAGGCGGGCACCAAAAAACTTGCATTTTCTTTTAAATTCTTGCTATGACGCTTGACGAACTTTTTGCCATTCAACAAATTCATCCAGAAGCACAGGCCCTGCAAATAGACAAAACCTGGTGTTATATTTACCAGTGTCTTTCAAACATTTCCTCTTAATGTATGATAGTTAAAACCATTAGTCTAGGTAACATCCATGTCAACCACTATAGCTAAATACTTACGAAGACTCAAATACGCCTGCAATCACTGTCGTCCAAATTTCAGAATTGCACATAATTAAAAACAAAGAACACAATGGGACGCCTAAAGCAATTCAGTCATAGTAGGACTGACTATCAGCTAAGTGGAGATTCATCCTCATAAGTCATTTGTCACATATTAGTAGCTAGAGGACTTTATAATTTAACAAGAATTTAATACATATATAGCAAAATACAAGTTGATGTTTATAGTTTTGTTTCCAAGTCTACAGTTTCACCTAGCAAGTCTCTACACTAGATCTTTGAACTGGATACAAGTGCACTCTGCCACTGCCCTATGAGCAAAATTAATATCTGCAGTTTGAAAGCATGTGATTATTAGGACAGTTTCTCTATGTATTGTTGAAGCATTATTTTATATCTTACAATATTGTTTCCGTTACAGGAATTGAATGTACTCATGTTACATGCCAACTGAAAATACTAAAAATAACAGTTGAATGAACAAAGTTATTAATACTTACATGCACCATCTTCATCGTAATTGCTAAGATCTGCATGGACAGTTCTGCTGAACTCTAGCACGTTGTACCACTGATCCTTGTTCATAACTCTATACTTCGATTGCTAGGGAAAACAATTTAATTTTACAAAACTGAAAGTGTCAAATGACATCTGACAATACTGTATATTATTTCTAGCTTCTCTCATTTTGTTTTCTGTCAGTTCCTAATAGACAATTCAGTGGATGACAATGGCTACTATTCCCTTGTTTGTCCAACCTTTTCACTACACAGTACATATTTGGTAGTTCTAGAACAACATAAAATAGGTTCTCAAAAGAAGATCTGAGCAAGATTGAAATACCAGGAAATCGATTCAGTGCTCTGATGCTTTAAAAATTGGCAGATTGCCATTTTGCCCTGAAGTAGGGTGTACTTAGTGAAGACATTTCTAGAATGAATAACTACAGAAATCTCCAGAGTACATATAGCATGGTCATAAAGACACACACTTTCCAATGTTAATATTGATTTGAAGCCAGGGAATAGTATCAAGCCAAGCATGCTCCTCAATGTATGCACATCCACACTACCAAGTTGCTTATTGCTGAGCAAAATCTTCCAGAGCTACCCACAGCTTTAGTCACCTACATATCACACAAAAAGCAAACTTTAAGTTCAGCACAGGTGTAGTCACAGTCACAGGTGTAGACCTGTTGACAAACAGGTCAACAAGCATGCCATCATCCAAAAAAGTCAAGGAAATGTGTACCTCCAGGTATTGATAAAATACTGAAAACAGTGGCCAAGTTCTTCCAAGCAAAAGAGCTAACATGGATTTTGCAGTATCAATATCAAGACTTCGCTGGTCTTTATCCTAAGGTCAAATAAAGAAAGCACAAAAAACACTGAAGTACAAGTTCATTAAGTAATTTAAATTAGAAGTTCTTTAACATTCCAGTAGTCTTACCCTTGCAAAATCAAAGGCATATCTGTAGATATTCTTAAACGATGAAATGTCATTCAACTGTGACCGCAAGAAATCAAATTTACTCTGTAACTTTTCTGTACAGTCACACCTTAAAATAAAGAAAAATGTGTTAGAATTTCAAAGCAAAACATTTCAACCATTCCAGAAAGTGTAAATCAATTAAAATCACCAAAATACAATCATCAGGCTTACAGTAGTAATACCTTGAAAGTGACTGGAACGCTGAACATGTTCAGTATTTTACTGACACGATGAATGCTGTGGTTCAATACTATAAGCAAGTTTAAAAAATAATTTATCAGCATCATGATACAGTCTCAACTTTACTTCTCAAATAGTCTTTCTATGCCATACTCTGCAGTTTATATTAATATCCAGAACTATTTTATCTTTTAATCATTTTGAAAGTTTGCAGACAAGAATATTCAATGTACATTAAGGTGATACACAAAATCCTTATTTATAGCTGGATTTTCTGTCATATTTCTCTGAAAAAAACAGTAGAAAACACTTCAAATCTGTGCATGTTTATGCCTGGTGGACTGAGGAAGCACTCTGCAAAAACTTAGAGGTCTGTGAGTGGTTTATGACTGATAAATTCAAGCTCTGATAAGCCTATCACCTGGACTAGCCAGTAGCTATTCAACAGAAAACTCACGGTTGTACTACAATTTACAGGTCTGCTAGTTGGCATGAAAATCCTTTGCCAAAATATTGCCCTTTTTGGGCCCAGAAATTATTTCTAATCCCAGAAATAAAGGTCTTCACGTATTTTTATTTAGCAATGACTTCTGTTTCCAAATAAAAAAAAAACCTGTTAACTTCACCAACACTGGCACTGGAGAACATAACTTACACATGTAAATCCTCCAGGAAAGGCTCACTCAAAAGAAGAGGTATTATACTATGACCACATTTTATTTTTATAAGATAATGGATGCTTTGAGTAAAAAAAATTAACTTCCACCTTGTCCTGTGTGACAGAAACAATGCTTTCAGTAACACAGGGGAGATGCAAACATGCCTATGTATTTACTTTGGTGCACATGTCCCTCTGCTGGCAGCTTGCCTCTCTGAGAACACTGCATCTTTCACAGCTCCTTCTGGACTTGCAACACAAACCCACAGCCAAGGGCACTTCAGGAGTACTGCAGCACATTGCTAAGATGTTGCACTTCTGCTGTGCTTCCTGCTCCTCAGTTCTGCTAGCCTGTGCATGCACCTATGGCTGTCTCTATCAGAAGAGCTGCAAGGAGAGTGTTTAGCAATTTGAGCTGGTGGGGCCTTTTTGTTATTGACTCTAGCAGCACTAAGTCCAAACTAAGGTCAGTGTTAAATAAATAAGGCTATTAGCTAATTAGGCTGCCTAGTTAAATGACAAGAGCTAACATTTTACAATAAGAATATATTAAATTAAGAACAGTTCAAAAAAAAAACTTAGGTAAAATTGAAGGCATTTTCCCTGTCTTCAACTCAAATGAGGGTGGAAAGGCCTTGCAGAGGGATCTGGATAGGTTGGAGAGCTGGGCGATCACCAACCACATGAAGTTCAATACGAGCAAGTGCCGGGTCCTGCACCTGGGACGGGGAAACCCTGGCTGCATGTACAGACTGGGCGATGAGACGCTGGAGAGCAGCCTAGAAGAGAGGGATCTGGGGGTCGTGGTAGACAGCAAGTTGAATATGAGCCAGCAGTGTGCCCTGGCAGCCAGGAGGGCCAACCGTGTCCTGGGGTGCATCAAGCACGGCATCGCTAGTAGGTCAAGGGAGGTGATTGTCCCGCTCTACTCTGCGCTGGTGCGGCCTCACCTCGAGTACTGTGTGCAGTTCTGGGCACCACAGTATAAAAAGGACATGAAACTGTTGGAGAGTGTCCAGAGGAGGGCTACGAAGATGGTGAAAGGCCTGGAGGGGAAGACGTACGAGGAACGGCTGAGGGCACTGGGCCTGTTCAGCCTGGAGAAGAGGAGGCTGAGGGGAGACCTCATCGCAGTCTACAACTTCCTTGTAAGGGGGTGTCGAGAGGCAGGAGACCTGTAAGTAAAACTTACTGTCTACTGTACTACTGGTAATATGTGTTATAACAAATGATTTTCTTGACATAATTAGTGTGAAAGTGTGCTAATTACCATGTCTCAAGACTCTTGAGCTGTTGTCAACCTATTTAAAGCTGATCAGTTAAACTGATCATATTCAGACATGCACTACTCTCAGGACAAATCTCTTAAAGCCACTTAAGGCACTCCCACACCCAGGCAGTGATTTTCTTTACACCAGTGCACTAAGGAATAGTCTATCTTTTTTTTTTTTTTATACAGCAATTTGGGTGGCTGCACCATGAACAAGATGACCGAGATCACCCAGAATCATATTCATAACTTAAAAAAAGCCACAACGGCCTTTTACTTAGCATAAGTAAAGTGACAGCAAACTAATGTACAGAGACATGAAAAATACATGAGTTCTCAAACTTGCTTTGATGGAAAACGGCATTAAAAGCCACCTCAAGAACAACACAATGACACTAGCTTACCGTATTCTCTTCACACCCCTATATAGTATTTATAACACAGAACTTAAATTAGCATCACAAAGCAGTCCTATTTTCGCTTCTATTGAGGTAGAGAGCTCATCTGAGGCATAGCTGACATGGGCAGAGTAAAGGTAGAGAATCTCCTACTCAAATATTCCCACATTTATTCACACATACTTGTCTTTTGTTCAATTAGGAAGAAAAATTAAGAGGAATGCAATCATTAAACTAAAAGCATCTAGTAATGGTAATGTATAAGTAGTTTGAACGGTCTATTAGTCTACAAGCCATTCCCCCTCTCTCCCTGAAAGACATTCAGCCCTCCTAGGAGAGGAAAGGAATTAACGAATCATCTTGCCTATCTGTTCTTCATGTTCTGACACAGGATCTTCTGAAATTTAGGTTTTACATAGTAACTGAAGCACAGAGAAGCCCAAGGAAGTATCATCTTAAAGAGCAAGGGTGCATTTTTTCCCCCCATGTCCTGACAATGCCAAAATTTTGTTATGTAAACTGATCTATAGGTCTGGAGACCAGAAATCAGACTAAAGCATACACTAAGTAAGTATTTACATGATGCTTTGCGTTAGCACAGCAACAAAGAAAAAGGCAATAGCTACAAAAATTCAAAAGCCAAAAATGAGCTGGTATTAGGTTTTCAAGAAAAAAAACAACCCAGGTAAGTTTTTACTAATAATTGCAAACAGACAAATTATAAACCTGGCTTTCCTACGCTGTGCACCCCCCTCCCACTGCCCGTTGACTTCTCTCAGAAGAGTTTCTCTCAGAAGAGTTTGAGACAACCAGTTCTCATATATATGTACAGGACAGTGCTACCAACACAACACACTAGAATCCTCACTGATGTACTCAAGTCTAATAAGCTGCCATTTACTGCTTGAGCCACCTTCATTTTTGATGGTATATCACATACTTATTTTTCCTACTCTCTGAAGTGGAAGTCTCATCAGCATATCAGAAAGCTACAGGTTAAAAAACACGAATTTTGGTGGTCACTAAGATTCAGGCACCCAATGTTGGCATCTAAACGTAGGTAAGACTTCAGATTTAGGTGTTGCCATTCACAGAGCTCTAGTGAAGAAACCCTTAAAAGCAATTTGGGTGACCAGTCACTAGGCCTTAGCATACACTGAATACCTCCCTAGGCTCTGCTACACTGACTGGATCTCCAAAGTCTGCAAAAAGAGCTTAAGAAATCCAGCTCTTGCATACAAACCACACTTGTTAATCTGGAACTGAATTCCATCCAGCACTGTTCATGCACTTGCATTATGCGGAATTCCATGTGTTTTAGAATAAGGATTCTGTAATATAAGTCAGACTTAGAACACACACGGGGCTTTTAATGCATTCTAATGTCATTTCTTCAGGCAAAACTGAAACAATGCTGTGCAAGAATGTAATAATACTCTACTGCTTTAAGCATAAATCCTTCTCTCTGAAAAGATTTGTCAAATCTATCACAGGAAAATAGATTCCCTCCCCTTCCCCCCCATACAATATTAAACGATTCAAGCCTACATATTTATGCTCTTTTTAAGATACTCAGTCTTCAGTTCCCTCATATGAAGGTCACAGCTTTATCCAGATGCTTAGTCTACAAACCTATGACTAGCACAACCTGTATTGTTTTGCTCCCCCGAGTAACTGTTTAGGCTTAGCAGTTGCTCTGATTACATGTCCGTTTATGTAAGAGCGCACATCAGTACTGCATTTTCTCACTTAAACACATTAAATGTGAAGCATGACAAGCTCTGTCTTGAAATGAATATTCCTAGCTACGGCAGATTATTAGATAGAAATACAATCTACAATATTGGCTCTGAAGAGCTGCCAGACTTCATGCATTTTTGTGCTTACCTTCTTGCTAGCCTGTCTGACTTTTGAAGCCTTCTAGTTGGGTGAAAAACTAAGTACTTCAGAGAAGTGACTCAATCATATCCATTTACACACTGCATCCAAAAATTCATGCATCCAAGTTTACTTGAATGCAGTATCATAACAAGTCACCCTTAAAACCACTTGTGTATCATAAGTTTCATGAAAAACAGACAAAATGTGATGGCTGAACCAAGCCTCACCAAAGCAGATCAGTTTCATTAATCATGCTCTTTAGCCAGAACATTATCTCACCAAGAATTCCTACTCACTGAATGATGTGAGGAGTGTATTTATAAACCAAAAGTGTTATTTTACCTATGTATTAAGCATTGCTTCTGACCTGTATCTAATAAATAACAGTAATGATCAAAGATTATCATCAACAGTCCTTATCTATACAGCTTGGAAATCGGTAACAAACTTCTCAGAATACCAATGCTGAGATGTTCACGGACATATCCAGATCTGCTTACATGTGTCTGATAACCAGCCTGGTATTGTGACATACCTTTTCCTAATAAGATGTCGCCAAAGCCTGATTTAATTAACATTAGACAAAACTCTTGAGTGAATGCATTGGATTCACAATCTGATGAAACACACCAGTTATTTCCAGTTGGTGACTGAGACCGGACCCCAAACCAAGAGGTTCTGTGTCTTATTGCCAATGTACACAAGACTGAGGGCAAGAATCATTAAGCTACAAAGAAAAATTGAACACACACATGCAAAAAAGCCAAAACCACTTACTGTAACGAAGTCATCCCCTTTAACCATTCTTCCTTGGTAAAGAACCCCATGCTTTCAGCCTCTAGCTTCCAGGCTAAAACCAACATAATAATCTGGAGGGGAAAAAAATGAGTTAATATGTAAGACTGATTTCTAGACGCCAATGAAGAAAATTCCAAGCATTTAAACACTCCAGCAATTGTACATGCTTGCACTTTACTTGCTAGTAATAAATTAATAATTCAGCCATGTGCAATCATGCCCTTAAATTTAAATTTTTCTGAAGATGAAAGTGCTGCTACAATAAAATAAACAAACAACAGCTGCACATAATTGATGTATTCAGACAAAATCTTAGAACAACTCCTGAACGCAGATACATGACGCTTTGCTTAATGAAGTTAAGATTTGTATACAGAACTAAATCTACTAATGCAGTAACTCCTTTTAAAGGGTTGCTAGTATCGTAGAAACATACATTTTCAGGCTCAACACCGATGTCTTCACAAAACTTTTCCATTCCTTCAGGCCCCACAACTTCATCAGGACCTTCAAAACAAAAGGAACCAGACAAATATAAGTAACATTCAATGAAATGCAAGTAACATTTGAATTGCATCATTGCAAAGGTTACACACAAGAATTAAACTACATTTCATATAAGCTATCTGTAAAAACAATTAATTATTCTATGAAGTAACTATTGCGTTAGAACCATTACGTCATCTACGACTTGGAGGTGAGTACATTACCTATGAAATAACAATATGGACTATAAGGAAAACTGAAATAGAACTGTTGTGAACTACCTCCCTAGAACAGCAAACATTTTGCTTATGTGAGTTTTCATAAGCCTCCAGTGAGCTTCACATTGACACAGCAAAACTCAGTGAGTATCTCTGCTCTAAAAATAACATTCTTCAAATAGTTATACTGACAACAACAAAAACCTCTATTTCTGTCTGAGTTACTGATACGGATATTACGCTTTCAACAGTGTTAGCATTATAGGTTTACATTAACACAGCAGAGGATGAATCTAACAATAATTATGTTAAATTCTTTATGATGCTAAATTATATAGGGAGAGGAGTAAATCTGAAAAATGCTATGCATCTTAACCACGTATAAAGCAGAAAAAATCTTGACTATATTGAAATTACCTTGACTGGGGCCACAACAGTTAGAATGCTGTCACTTTTCCCTTTTAATACAGAGAATACTTCCAAAAAGCAGTGATACAGCATATTTAAAGAGCACATACGGACATGGTGTACAATTCAGTTTTATCTCTGAATCCCTCTTGTTTCAGTTAGTTCTGTTAAGCCTGTTGCAAAATGACTCCTGCTCAGCATCCAAGTATTATCAAAAGGTTTGCTGACATTCTATTTTGATATATTTTGGATCATTATGTTAACATGGTTTTAGTGAATACGAACCCATGTAAAAGTTAAAGGCTATATGTTCCACACCAAAATACCATTTTGTGATACTTTTGGCAAATGTTGCTACTTAACAGAAAACCCTATTTTATTTTATTTTTTAAACTTGATATCTGTCTCCCCTTCATCTGCATCTGCTGTTACTCTAAGCAGAACTCTTCAGGAGTTTGGACAATATACTTGGAATAATAATTCACTACAAGATAAGAACATGCTAAATAAAAAGTTATTGAGAATGACTAGTATTGCAGGAAAATAAAACAACTGACATTTAAGATCACGAACCCTTACCTCTTCAGAAACATTGCACAACTTTTTTTTAACCTAGCTAATAAAGCCCTTATATAGAACATGTTAAACAGCCTGCAAGTTTAAGGTATGACGTACTTATGAATTATTACACACACAGAGGAGTTCTCTGGTAAGGACGTCAAAATATGAATCAGTTTTCTGGCACAGAAATCATGTATACAATTCAGACATTATGCACTGTATGTACACACAGAGGTACACTCAATACAAAGATTTGATTTCTCTACTTGCTGAGTATATGGAAATATATATATTTAACTGTATAATTTCACTAGAAACCCATTTTATGCTAAAAATGTTAGTTAATTGATAATCTAAATATGTCATATGTATAATTTTGTATACTCAGTTCTTAATTCAACGAGAATATTTATAGGCATTAAAAACTATGTGCAGGTAACTCAATACCTACAAACTTTAAATGAAGAAAATCAACAAAACAGAAAGGAAAGTTTTCCTAGGAAGGACTGATTCCAAAAGAGCATACCTCAAATGCAAATTAGAAAGCAGATTACTAGAACCAGCAGTAGTTCATTACACTGGAAAGACTGCCAGCAAGGTATCAGTTCCGATTCACATATCTAAACTAATTCCTGGCAGATAAATCATTTCATACTAAGAACTGGTCAATAATGAGTTTTAGCCTCCAATTAGGTATGGTGAACTTCAACTAGTGACTAGACAAGAAACTCTTAACAGTTCACAGATCTAGAATTTCTAAGCATATAGTTAAATGGAGTAACAGTTTAGTAAGTAAACTGCAGTATACACTGGATGTTTACTGAAGGCAACTTATGCCCCAACTCTCTCATTGTCCTTTTAAAATCAGAAGCAGAATCATTCAGTTCAAGTGTAATACCAGTTATTTCATTTTGAAAAACACCATAGGAAATTATAAAGCACAGAGGAAAGAAGAAAAAAAATATAGAAAAACAAATACTGAGAATTACTATAGCTTTTACTAACAATTTAAGTGCATTTTATAAGGAATTGAATATGGACATACCTTTTGGGCCTACATGAGCACAAAAGTGCAAATAATATGTTGTGTTAATTCGTTTTAGACAAAGCCGTATCAGTTTAATTACCAATACACTATGTTATTACCTGCATATTCATAAAACCAAGCTAGGCACTTCTTGCTTGAAAAGTGTTCCTCTCCACTCATTACTTTACCAGGGGCTTGTGATCTGCAATAGCTTAGAGAAACACAAGGGTAATAAGTGTTATCTTGAGAAATGGGAAATAAAATTAAATTCTAAGTGTTTATTATTAGTTCAAACTAGGTAAACTGTTTCACAAAGTCAATATACATAAAAAGCTGAATTTGTTAAGAGACAACTGTCAGTCATCCTATTTCAACATTTGTTGAAACAGAAAGTTACCCTGAAATGCAACCTTCTCATAGTCCAACTTACTGCAAATATTACTTTTCCTGAACTGCCAGAATATTGTCACCTTGTAGATATTAAGCCAAAATCCCCACATGCAGATATTTAAAACATCACTGCTCAGTAATTCAAATGCTCCATTATCTACTTATATTAATATATACAGGCATTTAAAGTCAGGTCTCTAATAAGCAGCATGATCTTCAAGGGTGCTGAATATGCACAGATCCAATTTAGGTCAACAGGAGCTGCAGAGTTTGACATACATAAAAGTCAGGCTATTTATATTTAGGCATCCAAATTTGGAAAGAAAATTCAGTCAGTTTATTTACATTAAACATGTAACTAAATCTCCAAATTCTATAGCTGTTTGGTACACATACCGGAATAGCAATATGCAATCTATGGAAAGACCAAAACTGCTCTGCAAAGGCAGCTCCCACCCCCCACATTATTTTCCTTATGTGACATACAATCCCATTTTCCTAGGAAGTGATTTTTTGTTGTTGTTATTCTTTGAAAGAATAGAGAAAATAACTGATTTCTTCCAGTAAAACACTGACTCATGAAAGCATCTTTGTTCAGTAAGGAGTTACAGCACCTTTACAACATACTCTCCTCTCAATACAAATTACATACTTTTACAGCATGCTAAAATTTCTAAGAATGAGGTGAAAATTAACACTTCCCATGTATTGTTTTAAGCTTTGCTAGAAGGAAAAGCAACACTTTCTAAGATGAAGCCATATGTGCTGAAACCTGCAATTAAACATGTACTACAGACAACCATCCATTAAACTGCCATTAAAAACACAAGTCACTAGAAAGAAAGAGAGCCATACTTTTGCTTGATGCTTTCACCCAGTATATAACCATGTATACCCATCTGTAATCAGTTTTTATTTTAAAAAAACATTATATAGTTATATAAAAATGTTATATTAAAAATGCTTCTATCTTTAATATTTTGTTATTAGCTAAAAGAGACTTATTTACTTCATAGTTTTTGCCCCATGACTACTACTTTCATGTAAAGCTTTTTATTAAAAAAAAACAAAAAACATTTTGTAGAGTCAAAAGAAGTCTGAATAAAGTTCTGGTCAGCAACAGTCAAGAAAGATGAACTGAAACTGGAACAGCTGCAGAGAAGGGCTAGGATGGCCAAGGAAACTGAAAATCTCTTAGAAACCAGAAGAATTTGGCTTAATTTAAAAAAAAAAAAAAAAAAAGCAAGCAAGCACTCCCTGCAAACTCACATGGAGGCAGAACCATGAGGAAGAAGGATTAGATATAGGATGACTCAGTGATCCTGGGGATCTGCTTCAACTTGGAATACTCAGTGATTCCATAATAATGTTGACACAAGAATGGTTACCAAGCACTGGCTGTGAATAACCTTAAACTGAAACTACAAGCTCATTAACAAGTGCAAAAAGTGAGCTCCGGAACAGTTACCCAAAGTAATCAGTCATAACTAGATAAATGCCTAGGGACTTCTAACCTCAACCTCTAAGGTCAACCTATGAGGAAGGGCACACGCCACAGCTTCTTGCAATAGCCATTCCCACAGCATTGATTTCGTAAGTCTTCTGTATTCTTATGTCCTCAGGATGTTTGTCGTAACCACTATTTCACTGACATACTTGGAAAGGTCTAATAGATTAAGGAGGCAACAGTTCCTGAGGAAAGCCCTGCTGGAAGCTCCTGCTACACCGTGCCAATGCTTTATCATGCTAATGGCCATTTCAGGTGCAGAAACACAGAATCATCTAGATTGGAAGAGACCTCAAGATCACCAAGTCCAACCTCTGACCTAACACTAACAAGTCCTCCGCTAAACCATATCCCTAAGCACTACATCTAAACGTCTTTTAAAGACCTCCAGGGATGGTGACTCCACCACCTCCCTGGGCAGCCTGTTCCAGTGCCTCACAACCCTTTCAGTAAAGAAGTTCTTCCTAACATCCAACCTAAATCTCCCCGGTGTAACTGTAGCCCATTCCCCCTCGTCCTGCCACCAGGCACGTGGAAGAACAAACCAACCCCCACCTTGCTACTGCCTCCTTCGAGGTATCTGTAGAGTGCCACAATTACCATGATATTAATAAAAACGCTGCAGATATTAACGGCCTTCCTACGCATTTTAATCAACGAAAAGCTTCGAGATGCTTCGGGCTGTGGAATTTATTAACGAAGAACGCCTTGATTTTGTTTTGAGGCGTGCTGAGGGCCACGAGCGGCCGCCCCGGCCCGCCCCGCCGGTACCTGCCGAGTTTACACTTCTTGAAGCCGGCCTCGTCCTGCGCCGCCGCCGCCCCCGCCCCTGCCGCGGCTTTCCTCTTCTTCTTCACCGGCATCGTCCTGCCTCGGGGCGGGGGCCGCCCCGCTGCCGGGGGCCGCGGCCGGGGCCCCACCGGGCTCAGCGCTGCGGCGGCCGAGTGCGGAGAGAGGAGCCCCGCGCCGCGCCGCTGCTGCTGCTGCTGCCCCCTTCCCTCCCTCCCCCCGGGCCGCGCAGGCCCCACGGGCCGGGAGCGAGGAACCGAGCGGCGGTCGTTGAGGGAACGGTGCGCGGCCCGGACACAGCCACCGCTGGGCAGGAAGTGACGGCACCGCCGGGGCGGGGCATCTCCCCTTTCGCCCCGCCCTCAGCCTCGCGGCCTCTCCCCGGCACGGCACCAAGGGGGCGGGGTCTAATCTAGGCCACGCCCCCAACGTGCGGGGCATCGGGGCGCCCGGTGCCGCCATTTGCCGTTACCATAGCAACGGGGCCTGGCAACGGCTGAACCGCCGCCAGGCTCGGCCTGCAACATGGCGGCGCCGGGAGACCCCCGGCAGCGCTTCCTCGCCGCCACCGCCGCCAACTACTTCGGCCTCAAGCCCGCCGCCGCCGCCGCCGCCCTCCGCGGCCGCCCCGAGGTGGCCGGCTTCCTCGACGACGGCAGCCAGGAGCTGCTGGCCCTGCGCCGCTCCGACGGCGGCCTCAGCGCGGCCACCAAGGTAACGGCGGCGCCCGCTGCGCCCCGCGGAGGGCTCTGAGGCGTGGGGTGGTGCCGCGCAGCTGTGGGGCGAGGAGCGGTTGTAGGGTGCGGCGTGGTTTTAGGGTGAGGCGGAGTTTTAGGGTGATGCTCGGTTGTAGGGCGATGCTCCGTTGTGTGGTGACGAGCAGTTTTATAGTGCTCTATAGTTTTAGGGTAATACCGCGTATGTTTAGGGTAGTAATAACGTTCAGGGTAATACTGATGTGTAGTTTTAGGGTAATATTCAGTTATAGGGTGATGCACAGTTTTAGGGTGCTGGGTAGTTTTAGGGTGATACACAGTTGTAGGGCAATGCACAGTTTTAGGGTGCTGGGTAGTTTAAGGGCGATGCACAGTTGTAGGGCAATGCACAGTTGTAGGGTGACAAGCAGTTTTAGGGTGCTGCCTAGCTTTAGGGTGCTGCATAGTTTTAGGGTGACAAGCAGTTTTAGGGTGCTGCCTAGCTTTAGGGTGCTGCATAGTTTTAGGGTAATAGTTGCAGGGTGATGCACAGTTGTAATGCAATGCTCACTGGTAGGTTGATACACAGTTTTAGTGTGCTGGGTAGTTTTAGGGCGATACTCAGTTTTGGGGTGCTGTGCAGTTGTAGGACAATGTGCAGCTTCAAGACGACGAGTGGTTTTAGGGTGCTGCATTGTTGTAGGGTGCTGTACAGTTGTAGGGCGATACACAGTTGTAGGGCGATGCTCACTTGTAAGGCGTTGCGTAGTTTTAGGGTGCTGTGCGGTTGTAGGGTGATGTGCAGTTGTTTGGTGCTGCGCAGTTGTAGGGTGATAGATAGTTTTAGGGTGCTGCGTATGGCGGCCTGTGGGATGGCTTGTTGTCTCGCAGGTGCCAGGGGAAGCCTGATGCACAGCTCGTTTGCAGGTGACCCTGCAGGTAGGTGACAGGAAGAAAGACCACATTGCCAGTACCCATGCAGCACACACAGCCCAAAATGCGGCACCTGAGCTTCACCGTGCAGAGTGACCTGTGCTGGGTGCCAGATGAGTTCTGTGTCCCATCATTCTGCGGTGAGAGCAGGGCCATGGTGGCTGCTGCCTCAGTGACACTTCCTCGTGTAGTGGCAGGTGGTGTCAGGAGTTGGTAACAAGTGAACTGCTCTGTGGACCAGTGGCTTGCATATGGCTGGTGTCAGCACCTCTTCAGACTTTGAGGTCTAGTGCACACTACGTTCATGCAGGGGATGTGTACGTATAACAGCTTGGAGCGTGCTACTTAGCCACTGTCTAATGTACAAAGCCACTGTCAGCAGCTGTGGAAGGTACAACATCAGGTGTGTACAGAGGCCACAACATTCAACTGTTGTCCCACTCAAATGATGTTTGTAGAGTATGGGGAAAAGACATGGCGTTGGACCTTAAAAGTCATTTAAGGACCTGATAAGAAGGTAAGCCTGGCACTGTCTGGTCAAACTGAAAGCTGTTCTTGCTAGCTTTCCACTTCTTTTAAAAGAAAAAAAAAAAAAGTTCACAAGTGTTTGCAATTCCACAGAATTTGGGATTTCACCTACTGTATCATTTGCTAATTTTTTTATCACCTTAATAATGTTCTTTTGTTTCATGGATTCTTCTTTGCCCCAAATAATTTCTGCACTTGATTTTAAGGTAACGTTTAAAATTTTGTCCACAAGTAGGACTGTGAAAGTAACAAGAGTTCTGACATCTGCAGATTTTACTGGTGAACAAGCCTTTCTCTTTCCCTATATAGTCAATGAATTACAGTAGAGCTCTGTATCTGCAGACTTACAAGGTCAATATTGAATACTGAGAAAGTTATTTCCAAAGTAATGCTGTATAAAAATGCAGTAAGAAAGTTTACATTCTTCACATTTATTCTTCTCAAGGCACGCGAGTTTCTGTTTTGTCCTCACAAAGCAGTAAGCAAAGCTTTCAAAATAGAATAAGTAACTTTGGTGTTTGTGGATGGTTTATGATGAAAAAGGCATTACATATTCAATGTTGTAAATTACATATCAGGTTCCTGTCAACTCAAGAATGAGTGTAATAAAAGTTTTGATTTTCTGTGCAAATCAGGTACTACCAGAATGTTATCAGAACACACATGGAATAATGTGGTAATTTATCATTTTTTCTTGATGTAAATTGTTTGTGTAAATGGTAATTTAGTGTAATATGCAGTCAATCACAGTTTTATAGAAAAATAATTTTTTTTTTTTGATTTTATTATTGCAGATTGAAGCTACCGATTCAAAGAATAATGTGTTGGTATTCTTTAAGCTGCGACCTGATGTAATTACCGAAGATAATCTTCACAGTAATATCCTTGTGTCATCTATGCTAGATTCACCAATTAACACCCTTTATCAAGCTGTTCGACAAGTTTTTGCACCAGTATTACTGAAGGTGAGCAATATACTGATTTAAATGGTCTATAGATTTAAATTGAAAAATTAGAGTTCCACTGTCTGTATTACTTATTCTGACAAAATATTTTATATTATAAAAATAAAGTATTTTAAGTTCTTAAATAATGCAAGATATTTCTAATTTCTGAGTTAAAGAAGGTGCTTTATCATATCATCTCACTGAGGATAACAGGAGGGTTCTGGATATGCGTGTGCCAGACTAGAAACATGGAATACACAGTGCTGTGGTTTTTGGAGACAAGGGCTCCTTACCTCCCTTTCCACCAGTAATTCTGATTTTGTATATTTTTTCTGTTTTAGATGTTTTATATTTTATCTAAAATGCGTATGTCAGTATCACGCAAAGTATGATTCCTACAGAATGTCAGATAGGTGAACACCTGGCCTCTGGATTAGTTTGTACAACTGCAGTTTTCATAGATCTGATATTTTAAAATGTTCTTAAGCTTTTGCTTCATTTCCATTAAAGAACATGTTTCTTTTGTGGACTTTTTTTGTCAAAAACAATTATCATGTCTATATTTCATTATCTTTACAAGCAGAATTTCAGCAGTTGCATGTTTTTAATTTCTTGCACATTACAACATTAATAAAGTAATTTTAGGAAAACACAACTTTCAATATTTGATTATAGCAATTTGCAGATTCTTGTCTAGAATTAGATTTGGAATTCATTCTTCGTAACAGACAATTATTAAAGAATTCTGAACATGCTCAAAGTCCTTTTATAAATCCAACAACTGACTTATGAATTTGTGATTAAAAAAATTACACTGTATTATTCTGATCTGAGAAGTAAAAAGCAGAAAACGTTTTTCCTTGGCCTTAAGAAAAATATTATGGTGTCCCATCATGTGGGTAACTGGCACTAATACGTGTGTGTGTGTATTTAGATTAATGGAAGGAAAATAGTAATGGTTCAGTCATGTGAGTCATATTTTTTGAAATCTTCATTGCAGGATGAGACATGGAGTAAAACATTTGATCCGAAACTCCAGAAGCTTCTAAGTGAGCTTGAGACTGGTTTGAGTACTGTTCTCAGAAGATCAGATCCTAATTGCATGGGAGAAAAGTTCAGTGAAGATGACGTGCAAGGTTTGTTTGGCAGTTATGTTTTTATAACAATCAACCTTATAAATTATATTACTATAATCAATTAATTTTAAATTAGGAGTAAATCAGTGTTTTATAAGTTGAATTTCCAGTCTTTGTGATCCCAGTGCCTGCAGAGTGTGAAATACAACAGCTTGTGTTGAGTAGACTCAGCTTGTGCTGAGTAGACTGGGCCTGGTGATGATCGTCTCTGGTCTCTTCAAGTATGAACTTGATACTACGTTTAGTTTGAGTCAGAAGTCGAAGGGCAATCACATAATCGGAAGGCAAAAAATTGCTTTAGAAAGTATGTTCCACCTGTAAATATTTTGTTACCTTTCATGTGTTTTATATGTCAACATTTTCTGTTCTTATTTGCAGCTATACTCACACCAACAGATGAATTTCAGTTCTGGATAGAATGTGCTCGGCATGGAACGAAATTGTATAGTAAAGAGAGAGCTTCTCATTTTAAAGACCTATTTGAGGACATTGCAAAAGTATATTTTCTTCTGTGTAATAAGTGATGTATTTGTAGGCTTTAAAAAAAAACAAATTCTGTCCTTTTGAAATCAGTATATGTCCTTATGAATATCAGTATATGTACATGCTTTTTTAAATACATGAATATATAGCTATTTTATAGCAAAATTTTACTTTAAATGACATGTAAGTAGTTCCTAGTGACAATGATATGGGGGAGTGCCATAAATTAATGGGGAACAGATTTGACCATTTAATCCTAAGAGCTGCTGTGGAAATGTATGCTACAGTTTGTTCCTGCTAATCATGAATTTGTTAAAAGGGAAATTGAAAACGCAGAGGATAAGAACTGACTCTGTTGTGCAAAATTTTAGGCATGTGGACAGCACTTGCTTGAATAGCACTACAGATATCAATGCATTCCTCACATGAATAAAGTTAATATTTAACATTTTTTGAGAGGATTCCTCCATATTCTTTTAAGCAATAAAACAAGGATACATAGCAATTGCTAGCTTCCATGAAGTATCGTTGTTTCTACAATATGAGTTGCAAAGTGATTGT